TATATATATATCCAAATACCCAATTAAAATTCTAAAATGATATAACGTTGAACTTGTTATTATTTCTTTTTGCAACTTGCAAACAAAAATATATAAAAAAAAAAAATAATAAAAAAAAATAGGTATTTCACTCCTCGAATAGATTTGTATTTTTCAAACCTCCTTCGCAAAGTAATACACCGACAAAAGATAGTAGTAGTGCACTCTCTAATAGTAACTATACATATGTGCGTTCTTTCTCTCCCAACAACTCTCCCCTCTCCAATGTCCCTTTCTTCAACCCAACTCCTCCTCTGTTAAAAACCCCCATGTATGTTTCTATACTTACGTATGTAGTATAACTTGTGTAAAAGTACTGGAGAGTTGGTATAAAGAGAGTAGGTACTTCGCCAACGACCAAACCTATTGATAGCAGCACCAACACGGCCTTTCAAACATTCGTTTTGGTCTTGCATTCCCTCTTAGGTTAGATTATCCTACTCTTTCTCACTCACGCATCAAAAAAGAAAGAAAGAAAGAGAAAGAAATAGAAAAAGAAAGAGGAGGCAACTTTATTAAGAGCCTAGCGATCTTTAAATGGTACTTGAACACTAAAGAAAAACATGAGGACACTTTAGAGACACCCGATATAATTTTTGATCACAATCAGTGCAACAACACAACCACCAACTAAAGATTTATCAAGCTTATAATTATCATCATAGCCTGCAGCATCATTTTAACAGTAGCCCTTTTGCAATACCCTGTCCTTCACTCCACCCTCATCATTTTCATTCTATCATATCCCGTATACATCCTATTAGAATCTCGTTTTCCATAGGAAACTTCGAAAAGCCGAAAACCGCTAGTTTGATGAGGAACAAACAAGCCCCCATTGTAATTAACCCCCCTCTACTTCTATATTGTTTTGGGATAGCATTATTATTAGGAATTCCGGAATGGACAACCCTATTCATCCCCTTTCTTCACCCCCATAGAAATGATCTCATTYYSTYWCYCTCTCTCTCTCTCTCTCTCTCTCTCTCTCTCTCTCTCTCTCTCTCTMTSA